TTTTGTATATACTACATCCTGCTTTGTATTTTTTTATCTGGCACAAATCTGCACATATAGAACATATATTTTAAAACTGGTTTTCACCTGGATTTAATACTGCAGATCTCCCATTTCTTTCACTCCTTTTCTTACCACAACACTTCTAAGGGAGAGGAGTTGCTCGGCTAGCTTTTAATTTACTTACTTTGATGGTCCTATTAAATCATCAAATGCAGTTGTTCCTGGAATGGCAGCAACTACTCCTGCAAGCTGCCTAGCTTTCTCTTTTATTCTGTCTTTGGATTTGGATGCAAAATCTTCTGTAGTCGTAATATCTTTTGGTGCTATCCCAAATTCACTAAGATCCTGAAAGATACATACACAATGGAAAAAATATATATTTAAAATAATCTTCCTCAAACGCACACTTACAGTAATGGCAAAGGAAAACAAAAACAAATGAACAAAACAACAAAAACAAGATATGACCAGGTCAAACCCTACAGTCATGGTAACTATTTCCAAAGGGTTTTTTTTTTCCTTTCTAAACTTACTTCTTCATCCATGAAGTCTTCTGGCCCAAGAATGGTTTTGTCCGCTCTCTTCTGCCGTGATGATACAAAACTTGAAGGAGTCCATCCTTTAAAGAAAGGAATATCAAAATAAGGAAAAGTAAATGTCAATGTAATATTTGAAAACAACTCTAATATTTCAGCTTTTCAACATTACTTAAGATTTACAAAACTGTAATCAGAAAAAGCAATGGGAAATAAACAACACTGTTTCAACCATTTATAGGATAGTGAAGCACACAGAAAATTTACTTCATGATAGTTAGTTTGTTTTCACAAATGATATATTATGCTAATCAAATAATGCTTCCAAGAAGACACCAAAACACCTAACCTTCCTTTGTGCCAACAGTGTTGAAGTAACCAGCAGAGAAACCACCAGTAAATGCTCCATGAAAACGTTGGTATCGTCCCTTGGCATCTTTAACAGTCTGCTCCTGAAGAGGAACCGGCTTTTTAAGTCGTTCACCTACAATCAGATAAACAACGTAGAAAATAAGTCACAACATGCATGAAGAATGGAACCTCCGCTTCTTCCAGACACCTTCTCTTTCTTGCAACTAACAACTGACTCAAATAGTAGCCACCTCCAAGTGGAAATAATCAGCAGTTTGCACTTCTTCCCATCCTTCTTTAAGTATTTGTATGTTCTATTAATCCATACTGCCAGAGCAAAAACATAATGTGTTCAAAGAAATCCTATATTCTAACTATTTCTGACAGTATTTTTTTCCATGGTCAAACAGCCATAAAGTATCTGCCTGCTTAATAACCCCAACACCAAACACTAACCAAAGGTACCCTCAACACCAAACACTGACGCCAGTGATGGGCAATCCCCAACCCCAAGGCACAACTCTTGGCAAAGTCTTCAGCAGAAGAAACACAAAAATACACAGGCAAACAGCAATACAAACTAAAAAATTGCAATGCTCATTATGACGGGGCACTTATTTACACCTAGCTGTATGAGGGGAAAAAAAAATGTATCTACAACTTTTAAACAGGAATTTAAATATCATTAAAAAGAACAACACCATGTTTAACACTTTGGTAGAGTATGCTACAAAGAACAGGAAGATTTTTATACCGCGTTTAATGTCAGCAAACATTATGACTAAGTAATTAACATCTATCATACTCTGTAAATTAGAGCAAGCATTTGCTGTGTTTTTGTTATTTGCTATGATTACCAACCATGAAGTATTTAAAGGAAAACGAATGTTCTATCTGAGGATGCTCAACAGCCCCCCTCTGCTTCCATGAAGCATCATCATTCTCTCAAGCCTTCTGAGAGCAACGAAAACAAACGCCAGGCCTGGGCAGCTCCAGCAGCAGCCTGGAGGCCGCGGGGCCGCGGGGACCCCGGCCTCCTTCCCGCTGCACCGGGAATCCCGCAGGGGACAGGGCTCCTTCCCGCTGCACCGGGAATCCCGCACGGGACAGGGCTGCTTCCTGCTCCCACCTCTCCTTCCCGCTGCACCGGGAATCCCGCAGGGGACAGGGCTCCTTCCCGCTGCACCGGGAATCCCGCACGGGACAGGGCTGCTTCCTGCTCCCACCTCTCCTTCCCGCTGCACCGGGAATCCCGCAGGGGACAGGGCTCCTTCCCGCTGCACCGGGAATCCCGCACGGGACAGGGCTGCTTCCTGCTCCCACCTCTCCTTCCCGCTGCACCGGGAATCCCGCAGGGGACAGGGCTCCTTCCCGCTGCACCGGGAATCCCGCACGGGACAGGGCTGCTTGCTGCTCCCACCTCTCCTTCCCGCTGCACCGGGAATCCCGCACGGGACAGGGCTGCTTCCTGCTCCCACCTCTCCTTCCCGCTGCACCGGGAATCCCGCAGGGGACAGGGCTCCTTCCCGCTGCACCGGGAATCCCGCACGGGACAGGGCTGCTTCCTGCTCCAGCTGCTGCACAGCAACAAGCGCCGCGCGGCCCTTTCTGTTGGGGACCGGCTTTGGGGCATTTCAGTTGCTCTTCACTTCCCTTCTGACCCAAAGGTGCCAATCACTGATCAAAGATGCACGGCACTATCGCCTACCTAATCACAAACTAGCTAGGGAAAGGAAGTCAAACGCTATAGAAATGACAGTCTGTCTGCTACGATGTCTGTGAATTGAGCAACGTGATTCGCTTTTCTGACTAACCCTATTTCTTAAATCCCGATTAACGTCCCTGAGTTGCTCTAGAACTCCCTGGGATTCTATAGTGATCATGTAAGAACAAGTAAGTGTAGATGAATAAACACATAATGTTCAAGCTTTCCTTTTTATTTTTTCGGCTTTCCCCAATATTACCCATGAGAAACTCATGTCACTTGGATTTCTCAAACTTACATTTTAAGATTCAGATTCATTAACCCCCAAATGTACTACAAGTAAAACACCATCACCAACAAAGGCACTTCATTTTGTGCTGAGGATGAGTTCTGGGAGTTTCTATCAATCCAGAAATTCTATAAGCAATATCCCCAAGGCCTTGAGAGGGGAAATTTAGAAGGAAAAAAAAACAAAAAAAAACACCTTGAGGGACTCCTACACTCAACAGCAGATGTTTTGCAAATTTAATGGTTTATCTCTAATCCACCATTTGTGTTTGTTTGTATACACAGAACTGGTTTCTTTCAGACTGAAACTACCTGAGTTTCATGTGGTTTCAGGTTTCCATAGGAAATATTTACAGAGTTCTATGCAAACAGGGAGTAGTCTGTTTAATTTAGACTCTACTTCACTTAAAAACAATACAGACGAAGCCACAGTCATTTATCTACATGTGTTATCTTTTCTAATCTTTACTAATTAGTAGGCAGTTCGCTAGAACATAAAGTGGCAAAATGAGCCGTTAGCTGTTAAAATGGTAGCTGTTTCTCTTTGTTTAGGAAATAATTGTTCCTGAATAGGCAAGTGTAGGTGAAACTGATGTAAAACATAGACCTTAGCTTTTTTTTTTGCACAAAGAGAAAATCTTTCAGGTGTCTTGTCTATCATATTCAAAGAGAGAGTGTAATCAAATCTTGAAGATTTGAAGTTTCTGACTATATCCTTCTTTATATTCTGTGTTCTTTAAAACTAGTTCTTCAAATGAAAACTTCTAGCCGCAGTTGCACTCATCATCCATAAGGTTACAAGTCATCAGTGATACTGACAAAGTCTTTTCCTCTTCTCTATCAGAATCAAAGTCTAATATGCAAAGCCACCAGGGCCTGGAAGAGAAACGTAACGGTTTGTCTGCTCCAGAATTCGAGAATCTGCCCTGCTGAAGGTCACGAGTTTGACGCGTGCTTTCCGCTCCATACAGCCTCGTGGTGATGTGCTTTTGCTGCAAGGCTGTGTCTCTGGGATAAAAGCCATCTTTGAAGCACCTGTTTCCATTCTGTAGCCACAATATCTGCTAAGACAAACACACACAAAAAGAAACATTCCCTTCCCAGAGAGCAGCAGCTGCCAGTTATTAAGTCAAACCAGATACATATCTTCAGGATGTAACAGTGCTTCAACACAGGTCCTAGCAGGAAATGAGCTCCCCAACCCGAGACCATCTCCTATTGGCCAAAGCAAGGAATAAAGCCTGGAATTTCATATATTCACATATTTCTGAGCAACTGATGTGACACAGTCATAATAGAAATCTGGCACATGATGTGTATGTGTACGCACATGTCGTTCATACCATACATGCCACTGTGCGCCTGCGACGAGGCGACCCGAACGCCGGGCCCTCTTCCCTTGCTACAGAACTAGAGCTGGGCCCGTTGCCGCTTTGGCTGTGGCCACTGCTCACCTGTGAGCATGCAGAAAGTCAGCACAGAGCTCTGTAAAACAAACAGGGTACCAGAGTTAGCTTTATTGCTTTCCAGATTAATATTTTAAGCACAACATGCTGATCTCGGATGCAGCCCCAATCCAAGGATCCAAGAAGAGATGCTTTCTTGGAGGTAGCACCATGTGCAGTACAGATCATTTACTCTCTCGTAACATTCAACATGAATCCAACCTAAGCAGCCCTTTTTCGGAGGGCATGTGCATACCAGAGTCCTAGACTGTTATTCCCCCAGCTTCACACTGCAGCAAACCCTCTGATCAATGTGATCTTGAGAAACTGAGAAAGCCTGTGGTAGGAACCCATCTCTATTTAAGAAATCTAACAGAAACCAACAGCTACTGGAGACAAGATGTTTAACCATCTGGTTATAAGGTTAAGAACATGCTTTTCTTTGAGGGTAAATCAATTTTTGGAAAGTTGTAAGCTGTGATTTACATTCCATGGTCAGGGAGGACTCCTAGCCAGTCATTATACAGCTCAGCTGCAGCTACCGAGAGCACGCAGACATCATGTGCTTTTCACAAAGGAAAAAAAAATAACTAAGAACATGAGTCCCCTTTATGCAGACAAAAGTTATGCTGACTTACTTAAGAAATACGTGACGGCGGCTGCGTAGTCGCGATGAAGCGGCCCTTATCGAAGGGAGGGAAAGGCGCGGTGCAGCCTGGCAGGCCCACGGCTTGGGAGGCAGGCTGCGCGCTGAGGAGGGAGCCTCGGGGAGCTCTCTGGGCTGCAGGAATTTGCTGCGTTGCACTGCTGCCTTTCTTTTACTCAGCGTGTCCATCAGCAACTGAGAAATGCTGCGCTGTGTCACCAGGACGTGCTAAAAGGCTGTCATCCCTGCTGTCACACTGCAGAGACTTAGGCGGGTCTGTCACCTACACACACCAGGAGGGCAGTCCCTGGTCCGGTCCTTTGACCAGACTACAGAATCTTACATCTCGAGCAGAAAAACCTGTAGCCTTTTAACAAAACCGGTTTTCAATAAATCCACTGAAAGCAGTGCAGATTCTTCACACTGACACAGAAATACTGTTTTAATTAACAGATTGTATCAACACAGCCTGCACTAGCAAGTTACTATTTTAACTCTCACTGTAACTTAATTTAGTGCAGTACATTGGAAATTTGCACTGATTTTGCAAGACTCATCTTGAAATCTTTGGTGAGGGGAAGTCAGTACCTTCACCAATACCAGGAAGATTAAATTTAAAGCATAACTTTATACCCACTAAATGGAAATTGGAGCAGGTGAAGAAGCTACACTTTTGCCTGTATCTCTTAACATATGTTTGGTATATACCTCTAATATCTTTAAGGTTATTAAGGATAAAAAAAAAAGGTTGCAATGAGAGTAAACAAATTTTTAATTTAAGCAAAATATTTAAATCCTAACAAAAGTTAATCTGACTTCAAGGGAGGCAGGGTGGATTTTCAGATCCAGTTTCTGAGCTGCTGGCTCTGGTTTCCTTCCTTGCAGACACGGGCTTTAAGCCGGCTGCTGCGCGTAGCTCCCCGGAGACACCGGCACCTTCAAAGCAAGTCACAGACACAACGCCAAAATTTTTAATTTAAGCAAAATATTTAAATCCTAACAAAAGTTAATCTGACTTCAAGGGAGGCAGGGTGGATTTTCAGATCCAGTTTCTGAGCTGCTGGCTCTGGTTTCCTTCCTTGCAGACACGGGCTTTAAGCCGGCTGCTGCGCGTAGCTCCCCGGAGACACCGGCACCTTCAAAGCAAGTCACAGACACAACGCCAAAGCCGGGATAAATGTCTCGATAAGGAGCAGCTGCCTCTGCGTTCTCTCCCCACGCCCGCCCATGGCAGGCACGTTCCTCCCCGGGGCACTGCCAG